TTCATTATGTCATTCTACCATCCTTTCTCATCCCTGACCCAACTTGCAATCTCTATGGGTCAGGGAGAAGGGAGTTAAGAGAGAGGGAGATGAAAAGGGTGAAAGGGAGAAAAAGAAATAGGGAAAAGGAAAAGGAGAGAGGGAGATGGGGAGTAGGAAAAAGAGTTATAGGGAAGGGAAGAAAGAGAAAAAAAGGGAGAAAAAGAGGGGGAAAGGTATGGGGAGAGAGAAAAATGAAGACTACAGAGAATCCAATGTATTATATCCTTGGGCTTTGTGGTCTGCCATTCCTAGAGCAGGCCAGGCTTAAATCCATCTCACATCTCTCTGTCCTTGGCCATTAGAAAAAGGCTGCCTATTTCAACTAATAGCATTTTGTGTACCCAAGGAGGATGGAAACCAGGTGCTCAGTTCAAAGTCCTTATTTACAAACTATGCCACAGGATAATAGAAACAATCAGTCTTTGGAAAGAGTGAGTGTGGAAGAAGAAGAAGTCAGCACTTCTTGTTCTCCTTCCTAATGATTGTTCTACAACTGATTACAAGTTGGCTCAAGATTACAAACAGGCTGTTTGTACTACAAAGTAGACTGAGCTCTTATGGCTTTCTATCTCCTTATCAGATACCTTTCAGAGAAAGCTCTGTAATCATAACTTATCCAGTCATCATATTAATGGTACAGGAAAGACAGTCTGGATAATGCTCTTCTTTCACTTTTATGTGATAGGTATTTATGACAGCTGGACAAAGAAGAACTCCACGTACTGGGATAATGTGCAGTATAGCACTGTACATGTATCCATTAAAGTAGACAGTACACATCTGCACAGTTCGCAAATGGACAGGACTATGCAGAAGTCAGAAAGTAGTTGGTTTCTCTCTACCAATAACATTGAATGTCATCAAGACCCAAAAAGATGTCAAAATGCTGCAACAAGATGCTCAATCTAAGTTATTCCGATTCTTTGATGGACATCAACATGGGAATTCCCTCCATCAGTACAGATCTAAATCTCTCCATGCCTTATAAAGACAAATAAAAAATATAAAGCCCCATGCATGGTTTCAAAAATCAACTACTTAAGTACAAAATGAGAGACCTGGCTTAAAGACATGAATGAAACCGAAGGGTGGTGTGAGCTCAGCACCAGGCAACAATGTGATATCACTGCCCAAAAGGCTCATATTATTTGGAGTTATGATTTTTAAGACAATGCTTATAACAAGGGAGACAACAGACTCCATACAATCTGTGTTGGCCAAACTATCTCTGAAACATTGTACATACTTTGGGCACCACATTTTAAGGATGTTGACAAACTGTGGTACATGCTTTGGAGAAAAGGTCAGGATGTCGGAGGAATTCGAAATCACACCACGTGAGGATAATTTAAGGGCAGGAAGGTATTAGGGAGGTAAAAAGAATGTGTTGGTCAATTGCATTGCCATGTTCCAGTACTAGAAGGGCTGTATTCCAAAAGAGAGAAGAGGATTTCTCCATGGATCCAGAGGGCTAATCTCAGATTAATGAGTTAAAGTTTTACAGAGGCAGGTTTTGGAAGTTTAAGGAAGAGTTTTCTAACAATTAAAGCCATCCCAAAATTGGATGGAACCCTTTTTGTGGCAATGACCTTTTCTATCACTAGAAGGGCTCAAGCAAGAGGTTTCTACTCAGGATAGATGTTCAACTAGATGTCTTCTAGAGTCCCTGACAACTCTATAATGCTATGATTCAATAATCCTTTTCTGTTGTTATTAACTTTCCTCAGCTATCTCATCTCATTCTGAGGTTTAGTATAGTACTTTGTGCCTTCAGAATCACATTCTTGAACTCTTACCATTGCTATTGGATGACTTCCACTGAAGAATTTTAGTCCATGAAATCCTATCATTCTTCTCAATGCTCTGAAATCTGCTATCTCTAAAGCTAAGGTGAAGATAAAACTGTGCCTGGCTTTCTTCTTCTCTGACAAAAACTCAAAGACAGAGTCATTTCTTCTCCTGCCCTTCCCCCTCCTCTATCCCACCTAGTACTCATCTTTTCCATGCCAGGAAATAGTTTGTGTGTTGGTAAGAATGAGATCCAGGAAAGAATTCTCCATGAGGTTCCTCCATCTTATCAAAGATGAAATTATCTTTAAAGCAAGTTTAAAAAAATAGCTTCTTGGCTTTTGGCTCCAGTTGATATCTAGATAACTCCCCCCTCACTATCATATCACACCTCTGTCCTCAGCTTCTGATGGATTTCTCAATATATTTTGTGATATATTTCTCATCTTTGCCCATGCAGCCCATTACATTCCAATGACAAAACTTCTGCCCCCATGGATCTTCATCCAAATTCTCTCCACCATGTTTCACTCTTCTGGTTTCTGGATTTCCTCATATAAGCATATCTTCTTCAGTATATCTTCATAATATACAATGCTAATAAATGTTTGTTGGATTATTGAATTGAATACCAGAGCTGTCCTGAGAGGGATATGACTCAAAAATAAGGATTTAAGGTGAGTTAGAAAAAATAATTCTAATTAGTTGGTGGATAAAACCAGGGGTGGATTAAGTAATGAGTGATAATAGTAAAATATATGGTATCTTTTAAAGATAGTCTTTAGTAATAATGTCTGTTTAGTTATTTTAGTAAAGAATTTTATATCATATAATTTTTGAAAGGAAAATCGCACTATAAATCTCCATCTGATACAAAACATGGCTATGACACAAAATTATTTTCCCAATCATTTGGCTTATAATGGAAACAACACTATGAAATGTTAGCAGGTTACTCTAACTTCAGATCCAGTTCTTTTGAATTCAGTTTTATGAGTGCTAAATTTACAAACTTAGCAGAGATTCTTAATCTTTTTTTTGTCACGGACATCTTTGGCTATCTAGTGGCCCCCTTCTCAGAATAATATATTTTAAATAATTAAAGGCAATGCCATACTTCAAGTAGAGGTTAGTAAAAACGAAGTAATAATTTTTCCACCCATGTTAACAGAGCCCCTGAAATATAACTATATTCCCCTGGGAATTTCACGAATCCCACATTAAGAACTCCCCTAAAGTTACAGCAATATCATATTTACTATCGGTAAGAATAGAAGACAGTTTATTAATTTCTCCTTCCTGATAATGGTTTATATAGTTAAAGAAAACTGGAGAAGAAGAATTATGGATGGGAAAGCATACCAGATTTAATCAGAGAATCTAAGTTTAAATTTTAGCTCTTCTACCTGGCACTTGTGTTTGACCTTGGCAAAGTAACCTGACTTTGCTAGATATCACGTTCTTGTTCCATAAACTGAATATGTTGATATTAAAATCCTTTACCCTTTTACCCCTATTGATTCTATTCTCCTATGAATTCTTCAATCCAATCCAATCCAACGATCATTTATTAGGTGCCTACCAGGTGCAAGGCACTGTCCTAGGGTTCTGGGGATACAAAGACAAAACAAAAAAATAGCACAATATTGAGTATTATATAATGCAAATGATATCTCAGATAATGGGCAGGCTATACTGGTTATTTAGAAAGAGTTTCCTGATAGTAAAGGTTACTAAGATGTGAAACAATTTGTGGGACAGGCAGCGATCCTTCTACCTAGGAATCTTTTTCCCCTGAAGAACAGCATTATATTTCATTACCATGCTCAGTTGTCTGTCAATATGATCCCTACTGAGCAAGGTGACTCATTCATTCCAATATTGTCCTTGAACCAGTCATTGCTTCTCCCAACTGATACTGTTGGGGAGAAATGAGCACCAGATATGGTTTCAGAATAGAAGGCGGAAGTAATTGGAACCAAGGATCTATATCTCCCATAACAGAAGGACAAAGGCAGAAAGAATACTAAAAAACCTCTCCAAATAGGACCATCTTACATGGGATGAGTGTCAGGAAATTTAGAAAGAGTTCTGAGAAGAGAGGAAACAGAGGTTAAGGAAGACCCCTCACACTTCATTTTCAGAAGTACTGACAGAGGACACACACTCATTTCCATTCCAAGAATACTCAGTTCTAACAATGAACTCAGCCTAACAGTATAATAAAATATGTGCCATGACAGAGAGATGGGTTAAATGGATCTCTTTCAATAATTGGCTTTGAGTTCAGTTTCCTGATTTTTCAGGATGACATTAAGGTAGGTGTACTCACAGAGATGTTCTAGGCTAGGAGAGAAATGCCTTTATGTAAACTGAGAGCAAGCAGATTTTCTCTTTGCTGAAGCATTGATGACTACTAATAAAATCAAATGTTAGCTGGAACAAGCACTACATTATTAGCCACAAAATTTTATTTCAATTCTTTTTTCCCCTTCAGATTAGCAATTCAGTCAACTGGCATAGCCTCAAGGGTACCAAGTATATGATGGACAAATTTTGTTACAGAGGTAAAAGGGGTCAGGAATAGTTTTAAATATGCGTCAGCATCATCAAGGGAAGCCTTGATGGGTCATAAAATTGGGAAGCATGAAGAAACTGTATGCCTAGAAAGGGCAGGAGTGGGAACGTAGTGAAAGACAGGAGAAGATTGTACAAAACAGACAATGAACTTTTTCTGCTTCATGATTTTGCCTGGACCAGCTCTGGATAAGACTACCTCTCTCTAAATAATCAAAGACTAGTAAAAACTAAGGGCATCTCTTTGGTGAGATGGGTAGAGATTCACCTAGACTGTTTCCTTAAGGATAAATAAATTGAAATTACTCTGCCCCCAAACCAAACACACTTCAACACCAAGCAAAAACACCTACCATGCACAAGATAGTACTTTGTACAAAAAAAAAGGGTAGAGGACACTGCACAATAAAACACAAAGATGATGCATTTTTCCATAAGCTGGAAAGCAAGGAACCACTGGGGCCCCTGGGATTTTCTCTTCTTCTTACACATACACATACAAGGAGGCCACCAGTCAGTTCATGCACATGCTATGAATTTTCCTTTCTCTAAGCTGTCTCACAGAAGTAATTTAAAACAAGATTATGACTCACTCATTAAGTAAAGGCATGGACGTTCTCCTCTTGCTCTTCTGCACCATGTTGGCCTGATTTCTCAGGGATATCCGAATCAGAGCAGGGGCCAACTTACAGGGCTCTCCATCCACTTGCATAGGGATGGATTTGTATGTTAGTAGCATTACCTCCCGGCACTGATGCAGTCTTTCTCCATGGCCTCCAACTTGCAGAGCAGCCTACAGAAGGAAAAGAATGAAAGGAAGGTGGAAATGCCATCCATGTTTTATCAGTCACTCAGAACAGCTGGAATCTCAAAGTCCATTATTTAACCAATAACTTTCTGATAAAATATGTTGGAATTTGGTGTCCCCAGTGCATGAACACCAACTTTACAAATGACCTCTGTTCTTGGGTCTTGTACTTACTAGCCCATGTGATCTTAAACTACTTGCTTATCCTTCCTGGGCTTCAGTTTCCTCATCTGTAAAAAGAAGGGATTGGACTAGATGATCTCTGCAATGCCTCCCAACTCTGACCTTCTATAACTCTAGGTTAAAACAAATCTGCCAACTCACAAATATATTTGTAGGATTGCTTATAATTCCTCCTGTCCACTTTTCAGTCCCTCCTGTTTTCTAACTTTGTACCACTGGGCTAGATCAGAACAAGGACTTGACCATGAATACAAATTCCCATCAAAAATCAATGGAAAGGGAATATAGAAGAGATCAAAGAAAGGAAGGAAACAACATAAATCCAGTTCTAAATTATTTTTATCTAAGTGATAAAATTTTAACTCTCAAAAATCCACCAGATGATCATAAATGGCGAATTTTTAACCACTGATTGGCCCTTGCTTTTCACTTGGATACATCTTGACTGTTTACCCCTCACCAGTTAGTGAGTACTGATGGAGTGACAATGTCAAAATCATCCTACACCAAAAAATAGCCAGGAAAGGAAAGCTATTTCATGGACGTGGACATTACCTGGTACTGAAAAAATCAGTAAAATAACCTCAACAGTAGTAGAGAGCAAGGGAAAGTATTCCAGTTAACTGAGGGTTTATTTTAAAGGCTTTTATCTTCAAAACTTTCTGTTGAAAATCTTTTTAAAAACCCATTAGTCTACTTTCCTTCCTGAGTCATCACAATATAGTGAACACAAGGGGGACTTTTTTGGGTGACAGTGGATAATGCAATAGCAATATAGTAGAGAAAAGCAAGAGAATATCTATGACTTTAGCCAATGAGTGAATCATTGTCCTGCTTTCACTTTCTAGTATGAGACAAAACTTAGAGAGAGAAAAACTTAGAGCATGTGCATGGACTAGGGGCTTTATCCTATACATATGTATACTCTATACAGACATACATACATACATACATATACTAATATTAGGAGCACCATTTGTTATTTTACAGTACTTTCAAATACACGAAGTTGTCCTGGATTTGTACTGAACACAGGGAACATCTGGAAAAGATTCTTGTCTGTGTGTGCATCTACAAAAACAAATCTCTGATATCAGTTTGTTTTCTTTTTACACTACTTTTACTCCTAAAAACTAAGTACCAGAAAAATAATCCGATTAACTGGGGTTCTGACTATATGAGTTGGGCTTCTCCATAAATTAGAATTGTCCTTGCCACAGTCCCCCTCTCTGTTATCACAGACAATTGAATAATAACTATATTTTGATGCAAAGGATAAGGAATGGAATATAAAATGAAAAAAAATAAAAATATGAAAGTTAAAGAAAATAAGACCTGAGAAGAATGGTAGAAATCCAAATTTTGAGGAGAATTGCAATAATTCTTAGCTATTCAGACCACCTGATATATAATTCCTTACTTATATCTTTCTGAGTCTATTCAAAATACCTATTGTAGTTTCCATTTAATTTTATGAACTCCTTCCTTTTAAGACCTGTTATATAAAAGGCACTAAAGTAGATGCTGAGTATACAATGATTAAAAAATACCATAGTCAGGGGCAGCTAAGTGGCGCAGTGTATAGAGCACTGGCCCTGAAGTCAGGAGGACCCGAGTTCAAATCCGGCCTCAGACCAAACACTTGACACTTACTAGTTGTGTGACCCTGGGCAAGTCACTTAACCCAATTGCCTTAAAAAAAAAACCATAGTCCACTCTGTCAAGGAGTTTCCCCTCCACTATAGGAGTAGGGGGAATTTGACATATATTAGGTAAGAATAATACAAGATAATGAATTATAGGGGCAAAGGAGAAATCCAGAGTATTCTAGGAACATTTGAGGAGTGAAGACACTTTCAGGTGGGTGAACCAGCAAAGACTTCAAAAATGAAGTGACGGCTAGACATGGTCAGGAAGAGTTGAGTTTGACTACAGCCTCAAACACTGGATGTGTAACTCTAAAAAAGTCACCCACTCTCTCCCTCCCTGACTTTGCTCAACAGAAACATGAGGCTAATAATACCACCATCATAGAGATGTCATATGGACCAAATGAAATAAGACATGTAAAGCATTTTCCAAACACTAAAATGTTATGTAAGTAACTAGCTTTTATTGTTATTATTAATAAGCCTTGAACGAAGATAAGGTTCTGAAAGGCAGAAATTAGCAAGGAATACATCCCCAGCAGAGAGGGTGGCCTGTGAGATTACATAGAACAAGACAGAAGAGGAGACAGAATGCTAAATTTGGGCACAGCTAGTAGTCCAGCTTGAATGTACTTTAGTGTATATGAAAGGGAAATAAGGCAAATCAATTCTGGAAAGGGAGGTTGAAGCCATTGTGTGTCTTTCATTACCAATTCCTATAAGTAAGAGGAAGTCATTGAAAATGTTCATTCAGGGGACTGATACGGTCAGACTTACTCCTTATGAAGATTATTCTGGCAGTTGGATGTAGGCAGCATGGATTAGTGGACAGAATGCTAGACATAGGAAGATCTCATTTTAAATCCTTCTTCAGATAAGTATTGTATGGCCTGAAGAAGTCACCCAACATTTCCAGTCTCAGTTTCCATATCTATAAAATGAGGGAGATGGGCTCGATGACTTCTAAAGCTCCCACCAGCTCAAAATCTATGATCTTAGTAGATCATTAGTAAAGAGGGAGAGAAAATGGAGTCAGGGAACATGATTAGAACCTATTATGATAGTTAGGATGGTGATGGTATGAACGGAGAGAAGGGAATGGATATGATTGATGTTAAAATTACTTTCCTTTGTCCAACCACTCCCTTTGATTGAAATCTGCATCTTAATCTCCAATCTCCATCTATCAAAATCCTAGTCACCTTCAAAAGTCAAAATCAAATACCACCTCCTTCATGAGGCCATTCCCTACTACCCTGGCCAAACGTAATGTTTCTCTCCTCTAAATTCTTTTTAGATAGATAGATAGATTGATTGATTGATAGATCGATCTGAACTAGTGGTATCAATGTATGAACATGTATAGATAACTATATCTATACCTATACATATGTATAGAGTTGAAACCAGAGTCCATGCACATGATCTAAGTTCTTTTTTCTCGAAGTTCTGTCTCATATGAGAAAGTGAAGGTAGGAGTATGATTCACTCATTGACCAAAGTAACAGATGTTCTCTTGGTATTCTATACCATATTGACTTGACTGCTCAGGGATATTCAAATCAGAACAAGTGCCAACCCACAGTAATCCCTATCCACTTGTATGGAGATATATTTGTATGTTAGAAGCATGGAGAATACTTTCTATCCTTAAGACCACCAACTTCCTAAAATCTAGATATATATAAAAATGTATAATATATTACATATATCTATGTATTCATGTGTATACGTATACATATATTTGCATATACATATTCATGTATATGTGTATATGTATATAGAGAGACACACACATATATATAAAGTATGTGTATATAAATAGAAGGTAAATATGATATAGACAGACATATACACATGTGTATATGTGTGTATATGTCTGTGTCTATATCTATAATTATATTTACTGCTTTCTATTTTCTACATGTGTGTTTTATTTCTTCTAGAGAGTATGCTCTCAGAGAATAGGGATGAAGTATTCAATCAACAAATATTTATTAAGCACCAACTATATGCCAGGCTCTGTGCTAAGCCCCTAAATATTAATGCCCCTTTGGATGCCCCTTTGGATTCAAGATGGGCCAAAAGCCAGCAATACATCAATTCTGTTCACCAGGAAAAAAACATCGAACAGAAGAAAAATGTAAACGACTATTGTCTCAATTCATTAGTGCTCTCCTCATACATAAAAACTGCTTCAATGCAGCTAGTCAGGCAACTAATTTTATTTTATTTCCTTTATAGTCTTGAATAAACCCAAAGAATTTGCAAAAAATGAATACCCTTTAACTCAAAGACTGCAAGTTGTCTAAGTCTCTGGTTCCAGGTTGATTCAGAAGATATTTTTAAAAATTACATCTAACCTCTTGGTGTTTAAATGAATGAAGTAATGTATAATGAGTTCAAGAAACTATTACGCCATTCAGCCACTGAAATGGAACAGCATGTAATGATTCAAGCACACATGAGAAGGAGGGAACAGAGAGGGAACAAAAAAAACAAAACAAAAAACCTCTGCCTATTAGTCCAGGTGATCCTACAGAACCAGCAAGAATATTTTTCTGTATGTACTTATCTAGTACAATTTGCTTTTCAGAGAAAAGATATTTCTATCATTTTGCTAGTATTTTTATTATTGTGTTTTATTGCTCAGATCTGTCTTAACACTTAGCAAGGGCTCTAATAGCCAGGAATCTCATAATCATCTGTATAATTAGTATCACAGGATGTAATAGTATTTTGAGCTAAAAGGATTGTAGAATCATAAATTTAAAACTAGAAGGGCTTAGGAAGTCATTTGGTCCATATTTCTCATTTTACAAATTTGGAAACTGAGGTTCAGAAAAATGAAGTGATTTACCAAAGGTCATATAGGTAGTAAGTAGCAGAGTTAGGATTCAAGCCCAGGTTCTCCGATGCCATATCCAGTGCTCTTTCCACTACCCATCCTTGCCTGTTGCTATTTAATATTAACAATAATGCAAGTGAGAGGCATCATGGTGTGGTGGAAAACATGGTGGTCTTAAGATTCTGGAGACCTGGGTTCAAATCCCAGCTCCGCTAGTTACTACCAGTGTGAGTGAGGGCACTTTAAATCAAAACTATGAATACATTTTCTCATATCAACATCATTTTATAGTACAGTTAAAGTCT